CTTGGAGCGCATCATAGAGATCATTTCACGCCCCTCATTCCCCCAAGTTTACTGCCAGATTTTGTTCTTTTTCATTCAAGTTTTAGATTCATCTCAATTTGTGAGTTGTGATTCATCTCCCTCGTTCTTATCCACTCTACACCACAATTTACTGAAAGATAAAACAAATGAATGACCTCATTGAGGAACATTTTTGGTTTACAGAAGTTCTATAGTTGTATGACTTGGAGAGGAATTGATCTTTATATCTTAGCTGGTTGTTGAAAACATTCCAGATTTTGTTTTAAACTTTTAATCAAATAAAGGATGCTCGAGAAGCTCAGATGCCGATGGTCTCTCGCATTGCTGGACAAGGCACTTCAGCCACAGGCCTCACACACACAATTCTCTTTGAGGATACTGCCCATCCAAACTCTCTAGTGTTGAACTCTCCCCAACTCTATTGATAAAGGATACTGCCCATCCAAACTCTCGTGTTGAACTCTCCCCAACTCTATTGATAAAGCACATTAATATAATTGAATTAAATATTTGTTTAACCTTCTTCCATAAATAAAATTCACAATTCAATGTCCAGTTTCAAAATCATTGAATATGCATTAAAATTCTTAATTTTTTAGGTTCAATAGGCAGAACCACGTAATAAGTAGGCACTTAAGCCATAGGCCTCACATGCACAATTCTTACTTTTTTTTTTTTTTTCTTTAGATTACCATGATATCCAGGCCAGCTTGCGGGCGACTAATCCCACGAATCCTGAAATTAACTATTTATATAAGCAACCAAAAACTCAAACCTAAAATCACAAAGAAAACAACTTTAGATTATCATAATGTCCAAGCCAGCTTGCCCAAAAAATCCTGAAATTAACGATTATATAAACAACCAAAAACTCAAAACTAAAATCACAAAGAAAACAAACCCAACCCATCTCTTCTCAGATTACAAAACCGAACGTAACACATCTCTTCTCAGATTACAAAACCGAACGTGTCCTTTTAAAATCTAGCCTCGCGAGCCCGTATCTCAAAATGATCCAAAGCAGTCTTGCAATGTAAAATCTAAGATAACTAGATTTAAAATAGGGTAAAACAAGAGAAAAAATAAGAACAAAAACTGTTTATATGTAAAAATAATAATGCCTCAGAATTGCAGAATGACAGCAAGGCTTTAAAAGCCATTCAGTCCCGAAAGATGGTAATATGGTATTAAATCTCATCATTGGCAACGCACTAATTAACATTAAGTAAAAAAAAACAATTATAAATATAAATGTTTGTCTCATGGCCAGTCCCAAATTGTAATGGCAGCGACGCCGCTACACAAGGCAATGGAATATGAGACCACCCATTACACGGAGGAGCTCACGGTGGAGGACCTCAACATGCCCAGGATTTTCTTTGTGACGTTTTACTTTGGAATATACAAACATTGATTTAAATCGTTTGCTCCAATTATATAGTAAGGATTTGAAGTAAAAATCCCCGTCACATTTAACAAACAATAACAATCTTAACATGATAGTTAAACAAGAATAATAAAGAATAGGATAAGAACCCAACTTTTACTTACAAAATCAAATTTCAGAAAACTGATCAAGATCAAATCTTTGAGGTTTTTAAGTGCTGATCAACAAAAAACACGAACTGGCATTTACCAATCAGTAAAAAGTCGAAGACTTTTAAGACTATCAAGCATAAAAATCAGATCTTTGAAATCTTAACGTGCAAAATAATGAACAAAAAGAACTGCGTTTTGGAAATCAAGGAAGAAGATCAAAACTTGTAAGTGTATTAAGCTACAAAGAGTTGAAAGCTGGTGGGAGGGAGACTATTTTGTTTGAGAAGGCAACAGCTGCAAGGAAGGCAGGCGGAGAAGGCAATCAAAAGATGACTAAAACCCTAGTGGCTGGGACAAATTATAGAGGTTTGTGGACTAATCTGGAATGTTGGATGGATATCGTGCGGCTGACGGTGATGTGAGGATTAGAAGATAGCCGACAAAGCGTCGTGAGGGTCTTCTAGCTTACATTAGCCAACGACGGGCCTGGTTAATACTAGCTGGTAGCCCCTTTTTCCAGGGCCCAACTCGTTTTTCATAAACAAGCACATGAACTAGAAAATACAGTTTTATTCTCTCTAATGATCTTAACTCGTAAGGGGTGAACAAATGCTTGATTGCGTTTAGGAGTGTCATTTTTATGTTCTTTTTTCAATGAAATTAGATGTTCTACTTTCAATTTATGATAGCATATTAGTCTCATTTGCGTTTAATTAGTATCTCGTAGTAAAAAAACAAAAAATAAAAACAAAAGAGACATGTATTCTTTTACTATCTCAAAAATATATTTATTTTGTTTTTTGTTTTCCTTTATCTATCTTTTCTATCCTAAAACATTAATCAAACTCAACCGCCATGGAAGGTTCCCTGTGTTATGATTCCAATAGATGTGTTGAGTGCTGGTGGATGACATGACCTGTTTATACCGTCAATTGGAATTGTAAAACAAAATCAGAGGATAATTGGATAGTGCATGTGTTATCCTTTCATACAACTGTGCCATACTTTGTAGGACATAAATTATTCTTACCTTAGAGGGTCATGTGAGAGGTATACTCCATGGCTGCAGATGAGTTCTAGAAGTGCGTTCTCGTAGTAACCTTTGCTGTGGAGGATGAAAGGTTTCAACGAGACACATCCTCGTTGATCCATTGCCAATTTCGGACAATACTCCATGGCTTGTCTAAATAGCAACCGTAATCATATTATGTAAATTGTGTTTTTGCAAAACAACAGTCAGACTTTAAGACAACAAATGACAGATCAAGGTGTTTTCAGATCAAAAGGTTGATGTGAACTGTTTAACATCAAATACACATAATTTTGTGCTAAATTCAGTATGTTGTCTGACAACGCGTAAGGGTTGTATTATGTTTAACATGAAAGTACATTTGATTAACTGGCAAATACTTGAACCAAGAGGAAAAATTAGCTGCTAGTGTCCGAATGCAATCACACCATCACTGGCTCTTATCATTGTAATTGTGGATTGAATCAGCTAAGAAGACTAAGATACAAGATATTGCAGGATCACATCTATTAAGTTTCAGCTTATATGTTCTATGTCATAAGAAGACGACCTCAAAAGAAGAGCATCGATTTACCTCATTTTGCTCTAGTTGAAGGACATCTAGGCACTGTAATATATCTCCAAACTGCCTCTGACCTATCCAGATTGCCAAGCAATGAGTTTATAATAAAGATAAACATGAAAGACATAGAAGATTGTTTGTTAAAATGTTATGGGAATATAGGATTTACCCGACTCTACATATTGCTATGTGGAGAAACAAGTTGGAGTTTAAGCTGATCTTTCTTCAATAAGTTCAAGCTGATGATTATTCCAAGCTTTAATCAATGTATAAAGGTGTGTCATCCATATCGGTCTTTCATTAGGGAAAATATGAGACCTTTACAAATACATCTCTTATAATCCTAGGATGCTTTAGCTGCAGCAGGTCTGCAAGTTCTTCACTCATAACCTCTGTAAGAAAACCATAGCTTGGCAAGAAATCAATATGAGACCAAACATTAGAAGGCCCTGGTTGATTCGAAGGACCAAAGAAAGGATTTTGATTACTTACTTCAAAGAAGAAGCCTCTCTCTCGTTGTAGTGCAAAGTTAGCCTTCATTGACCAATAAAGAGTTTCCTTGATTTGCCAAACTGTTCTAGGTGTAGTATTCGAACCACTCCAAGGAATTGTGATTCGAAGAGGAACCATCATCATGAATGCTAAGAACCTTGAAAGATTTGGAAAGATTGTCAAAACCACTTGTTTTAGGAGTTTCACTCAAAAAAAGAAGAAAGAAACAGTTGCGTTCTCCATGATGCCTTCCATAACAAGCAAAAAGAAAAGAAAGGACAAGTAGCTAGCAAGCTATGAAATACAGTCCCTCGACTTAATGTTGATAGAAGTTATGCTTGTATAATAGACATTGAATTGAAGCTAGCTCTCTTCGAAAATTTGAGGTAAATTTTGTCTAATAAACAGACAAACTACTTAAATGCTAGAGTTAACTGTGCTTGGTAATAATGATATTATTAATTGAAATTGGGATAACAACTTTCCTTTGGATGAATAATTACTAGTTCTGAGGGATCGTTTTTGTGCATGGAACAAAATTGTGTTCGTAGTTCTATTTTGCGTCAACAAGGAGATTTGGCTAGGTGGGGTGGGGAGCAACAATCCATGTCTACTAAAAGAAATTGTTTCCTGACAATTTAACTCTTAAGAATTATTATTTTTTTAATTTTTATCCAAATCAATATCATTTTATTAAAGACATAAACTAGAACGGCATCGATTTGAAAGAGGTTCGGGTTGACTTGTCAATATGAAAATGGACCTAGCCAACCCATGACCTGGGGTTTAGGATGCATTTGATGACTATGGGTGGAGCTTGGGCAACCATGTTCGCAAAGAATTTCAAATATGTTGAGGCACTCATGGTTGCTTGAAATGGAACCGCAAGTTCCTTGCCTCGGTATCCTTAATTTATTGCAAAGCCGCCCGAGGAGAGTTGGGGTGTGCTAGTTAGCATAACCCACAATAGTTAGCACAAGTTGTTCAAGTTTAGGATACGCGAAGGACATGGATTCAAGTCCTATCCTCGTGAGCCTCTGACTCTTTAGAATCACCAACTCTACCTGAGAAAAAGGGAAAGTCATGAAGAACTAGCTGTGGTGGCTGAAAAGGACTCTCCTATGCTAATTGTAAATATCAAAATAAAAATAAATAAATCAAAAATAAAAATTTTCATGGCCAGGGAAGTGCACTGGAACATGTTGATGACAATCCTAACAGGCAACTATCATTTGTAAGAAGACCACCTATACACAAGGGAAAATGAAGATATAAGTGCTATTTGTAACCCAATGTACAAGGAGAGCAAACAAAGACATGCATCGCCTAGAAACAAGACATGAGCAAAGGCAAAACTACATGACACCAATATTTTCTTTAAAAAATCAATGCACCCCGAATTCGAGGTATACAAAGCAAATCCTAGTACAGTAAACATACATCAAGATGGTGTTTATGGCTTCTAAAACATTTTTCTTTCTAAATATCCTCAACCAAAAAAAAAAATATACAGAAGAAATGCACCCCAGCTGCTAGGGACAAAATCCAGCTCCAGTTTTAAGCCTTTCATACTATCCTGTAATCTAAAATCCACCAACTCCAATCTAATTAGTTATCTACAATGCTCTTTTGCAGCGTCCTTTGCTTCCTTTGCCCTCCATCTACAGGATAACAAGAAAAACAGTAGTATGGTGAGTCGAGAAGGAGAAGAATTGATGAACTTACTATACTCAGAATGGCACAAGTCTCAAACAAGAGCTGCCCAAACCACTACGGATTTAAAGAGATGTTGAAAATTAAACATGTAGGCATCAATAATCAAGTTCATGGAACCACTAAAGAATTTTATAACAGATAACTTGCTTTTATATGATGGTTCCCACTCTCTTTTGTTATTTCTTTCACTAACCCTCAATTGAATTTGTAGTATAATTTATCTGTATATTAATTAATCCATTTTGCAATTTGAAAACTCAAAAACTACCAATCCTACTCAACACAGCAAGAGCCGTGTATCCATAACTATATATGTATGTGTTAATCATTAGGCCATATGATCAATCACATGCAGAGAATGGAAAAGGGAGAAATCACAACCCATCCCTTCACCCTTTAATATTTCAGCTGGCTAATTAATCCATCTCATCCTCACATAAGCTCAACCCTTAGTCTTCGTTCCGGCACATTCATTTGATGGTTTTTGCGCTCGTAACAGACATGAACCATTTCAATGAAGGGCAGTCGACTTGACTAGTGTCTGTGCGCGGGCATGCATGTGCATGCACGCGCGACAAAATTCAAGATCTTGTTCGCTGCATGGGAAGTACTACAGAGGCTTCACCATCCTGTTTATTTGGTATTCTCCGGATCTTGTAAAGTGTATAAGATAAATTAAAAAACCATTTTAAAATTAGGAAACACACTGCAAGTAAACTTTCCAGTAAGAATCGCAGCAATCATCCATGGAAAATTTTTCTGAGGTCCAAATGATCATAGATAAAAGAAAGCAGATATTGATAGTAAAAGGATTGCATTATAAAGTATTGAATCACCTAAATATGCACAACAAAAGCAAAGCTAGTCATTGTTCATTTAGTTACAGCAAGAGAACATCGAGTAGATACAAGCCTAAGAAAGATTAGTAACATATTCTAACTCACATTATATTCGATTTGAGAAACTTTAAGGTGGAGCTTGGAAAATTCCATCCCTTGTGTGTGTGGCTGAGAAAAGGCTTCCTTTCTTCAATTACACAGGGAGAAACTATAGTGAAATAAATAGGTAAAAACTCATTAAATCTCCAGTCATAGTTCTCTTGTATATGAAAAGTGTGCCATAAGCTGCAAGCACTATGTTAAAACAAATCAAATATTCATGATTATTACCACTGGGGCAGAGTCATTCATCTCCACCATTGACATTGTTAGTCTTAACAACTTTTGGCAGATTGCTATTCATCAGATGTTCTCCCCTTGGCAGATTATGTTCTCCTGGAATAAAGAATTCCTTGATTCAGACTCAGAAAAAGATAGCTAACTTAAACATGTATTTCTTACCATCTGTTTCATGATTGTGATTTTGAGCTGTTGTCCTTGTTATATCAGAGCTTAACACACGTGCAAGATGCTTAACACGATTCAATCGTAATGCTTTTGGAGGTGTGCCTGAACCAAGGTTTCAATACGAAGGTGGAACATACATAAATGTCTCTATTATAACCAACATTAGACACTCAATTGACAAACAATTTGATTCACATGAGACAATCAATTAGCAAGCAATTTTGAACAAATATTTATGATACAGGATCAAATGAAAATAACAATATTTAAGCTTACAATTGGAAGATGTGTCTCCCTTCATCGTCAAATCTGCTGGAATTTTGTGACCATCACCAATATCCAGGGTATCAACCAGTGACCGAGCAAGGTGTTTTATATGGTTTAGACGTGACCTTATAGGTAATTTAGCTAATTTATGCGCTGGAACTTCTAAACCTGTTAAAAAAAATCTATTAGTAAGTACCAAGCTGCCTTCATATCAAATGCATTACAAAAATGACAAGCCTCACCCACGGAATTTGCATTGCCGGCATTAAAACTTCCTTGTCTTTTTTCCAAATCAGCATGACAAACACCATTAGATTGGACAGGAACCGAGATAGCTGTTTGATGATTTTCATCACTCAGGACCATAGGCGATTCATCACTATCCACAAGACCGGATTGATTGATCTGAGGTTCTCTCACATTTTGTGCTCTTTGTCTCCTCAACTGATAGTTTCTACGTCGTCTTGCAAGATGTTTTTCTCTCTCTTCAACACTCATTGCTTGCCTTCTTTGTCTGTCTCGTAATCGCCGCCTTTCTCTTTCTTGCTCCTTTTGCAAATTCCTCAACACTGCTCTTTCCGTTAACTCCTTCATATTCTTCAATTATTTCATAAAAAAACTCAATGAACCCACAATCTGAACCAATAATTCAGCACTTAAAACACAAAATAAACCAAAAAAGATAATTTCTTTACCAACCCAGATACATAAAGCAACGAGCTTTATAAACCCATAATCAAAACCACCACCAACCCATTAATCAAAATCTCCTCGGCATCAGAATTCAAGCATTAAAAATCCAAAAACAACCTCAATATGCAACAAAAAATAACTTGTTAAAGACCGTAACTTTCACATTTTCTTGCTCCAGATGAAAAACTGGAACAACACTATCATCTATAATTCATGAAAAACAGAAGCCATGGCTCATTTCATCCAATTAAGAAACCAAAAGATCATAGTAATCTCATGATTAGCGCTGTAAGGACAAGATAAACATTACAAGAAAACAAAAAACAATGCAAAAAAATTGTCAAACTAACCTTAAGAATGTGATCTTTATAATGTCGGAGCCAAGATTTACTTGTCTTCTTGATTTGTAAGAGAGAGAGGAAAAGAGAGAGAGACGGAGAGAGTGACAAATAAGGTTTGAGGCTGCGCTTGTTTTGTTTCGACCGAGTAGCGTGCTGAATTGTTAATACCAAATTTTGCCAAATCAGGGGGTGATTTGATGCATAATTTAGGCCTAATCAATCGATTCCTTTTGCAGCTAATTAGGACGGGGTAATATGGGCCATTGCCATGTGAAACCATTGTTTTAAAATTCATACAGGCCAGGCTCAGCAGAAACTTGAATTGATTTGGGTTAAAAAAAAAAAAACTTGATTAATCTTGTGATCTAATTAACTTAGACATGACATAAATAAAACTTGGACATTAATTCATTGATTTTTTAAAAAGAAATTGTCAAAATAATATTATTTTAATTTTTTTAAGTAGAGTTTTCTAATTCCTTATTCAGTTTTTGTCTTGATTCAATTCTAAATTAAATCTTAAACTAATTTATAAAACCCAAAACAATTTAAGAAAAGATAAAGTCTTATTCCAGTGTTCTCTTTGGATTTGGAATAGATGTAAATTCACGTGTAATTCATATAAATTTTTTAAAAAAAACATTGTTTTAATCATTTTTTTGAGTAGCATGTAGTAACCACAATTATTTTTTAGAAGAGTTGTAGTATAAGGGAATTGATTGGAGTGGCAAGTTGCGGGTTAGGATCCCAATCCGATTAAAAAAAAAACTTCTAATCCAATTCGAAAAAAACGCGGTCCGAGCTACACTCGCGACACCGAGTCTAATAACTATGAATTCAAGAATGGTCCATTCTCCATACCTGGACACTGAGAACAAAATGCATCTCAAAATGGAAAGTTGGCAAATTCATCATTTCTGTTCTTAACAATCTTCAAAAAATGCATACTTTGAACTCCGAGACTGCAAATAACACAGACCTACTCTTGTTTCATTCCATGGTGGACATGTGCAATGATTTGAGGTTGTCTCAACACTAGCTGTATTCTCCCAAAAAAAGCTAATCCCATTTCTATGAGAATGATAACATCACTACTGATTGTTCTCTAAATGAGAAAAAAAAAGGGGTAAGACTACATTTACAGATTACATTTGAGCTAAAGCTATTCGGTTTTCACCGCCAGGCAGAAGAAGTTGCCATGTCTCTATCTCGCCAGCGAAGGTAAAGAGCCCAGTCTCTCTCCTGGACACTATAGTCCCTGTGGTATTCCTTCAACAAATCTTTAACGGCAGTAGTCACTGAAGAACCCAGTGGGTACTGATTAAATCCTGCCATGGTAAATCGAGACCTCCACTTCGCAAGAAGTTCATGCCGTTCAACCCTCTCAGCTTCCTCACAAGCGATCATATTGACAATGTCTCGAGCCACACACTGCTGCTCTGCATTAATCCTCTGCCTGACATCCATAGAGCCACCAGCGGCAATAGATTCAAACATAGCTGCATAATAATCTAGTGTCTCGATGAATCTTGGAAAGAATGGTTTGGTGTTAGTGTTGGATTCCTGCTCGACAAGGGTCACGATCCTTGGTGACAAACTCTTCACCATCCTTATCAATCTATCTCTGTGATTCCATGTGTTCACACTCTCATCAGGCATGTGGTGCAACACGTACGGAAAATTCACAACCACAGCTTCTCCAGGTTGGACCCTAAGATGTTCCAGTTGAACCTCACAACCATCCATGGCAACATCATGGAACTCAAATGGCACATTGCAGGACTCAGCAACTTTAGATAGCCTTTGTCCCACAATATCAAGTCCTCCACCACGAGCATGAGCTGATTGAGAATCATCAACACCAGTTATATGAATTGCTGGGGGTCCACCTGGCCGGCAAGCAAGCATCTGCATTAGAAGAATCCACTGGCTTCCCTGTGCAATTTGGAAGTCAATGATATGAATTCTGGGTTCGTATTCTACAGCTTCTCGAATGACAACATTAGCTGATGCGTATGCAAACTTCCAATAAGGGCATATCTGATAGAGAATACCCATGTAAGTCATCAAATCGGAGCTGATTGGTGCTTCACACTTCAAGGCTCTGTAGATTTTACTTCCTGAGAGTTCTAACCTTGCCCTAAGCCCTTCCAACATATAAGCACCCAACCGCTGAAGTGGCTCTCCAGAGACTGACACCATTTGGTCCAAAACATGCATTAGTCCTGCTGCTCTTTGTATATCAGCATTTGATACTGCATCAGCGCAGGCAAGGAGCACATGCTTAAGATCCAACCTCGGGATCATTTCCATCATTTGGTTCCAGTCCCAACTTGAATATGGTTCCGCTTGGTATCCTCCACTCACAAAGCAAAAACTGCCGCTGTCAGTAATATCAGATTCAGGCCCAAGCAATGAAATTTCCAACTCCCTCAATTTCTGCCTCAGTATATTGCTGTCATCAGCAGAGGAAGATCCACTCAAAGGAGATCCATATAAATTTTCAGGGGAATGACGAGGATCAGAAATGCATGAAAGTGAACCCTGGGATGAAAAGGGGCTTCTGTTGGATGAGATGCTGGCAGCAGGAGAATCATAGACAACGAAACCAGCAGTCGCTGAGGATGATTCCAGGGTAAAGAATTGTCCTAGACATGTCTCAAAGGAAACACTGGTTCCTTGGCTTCCAGCATCTGAATACATATTCTTGTCTAAAATTTGGATATGAGACAAACCATATGTATCAATCTCTAGCACTGGCTGGTGGTAAAACCCATGGATGCCAGCTGATCGGTGTTTCTGAGAGGTTTGCATCTAGAACTAGCTCACTGATGGGCTTAGCTCAGACAAGAGATCGTGGAATTGATGACTAGCCTTTTCTATCAGAATTGTCACCTTCACTTGGCAAAGCAATGACTTTTAGAATGCCACATTCTATAATCACTGAACACTTATAAACAGCGAGGCAGCTGCCAAGTCTGAATTCACTCGTCACCACAAAACTTTTTGCTGTCCAAAATGCATCCTTATCCTCGGCAATGCATTAAAAGACCACCACAATCTGTTACAAGGACACAGCACATGATCAGTGCGTATTGACAACAGAAAAGTTAATGAAAAAAGAAACAGACAAGTAAGAGCAGGTGATAATCACTATACGTAGAAAGACCATCCAAGAAAATAACGAAGGGGCCAAAGTAACCTGGTATATAGTACAAATAAGTGACCAAATTCAACAGAAAATGAAACCCTAGCACAATCATGGACTTGGCAACAAGGCAACCTGTACAAGCAGGTACGTGAAAGAAGTGAAGAAGTCCTAACTTGGATTTGGGCTGATAGTACTAAGGAACAAAGTCGCTTTGTGGATCATTGCTTCTCCGGGATGACTTGATCCGTCAACTTTTAATAAAAATAATCGAATTTGATCATCAATTACAACCAGAAAAGAGCAAAATCAATGTTCTGGACCATTTTTTTCCCTTCTTTTTGACTTCTCAAGTTGCTGGCCATAGTCACTTAAAAAAGTTCTAAAAAGTTAAAAAACAATTGACCATAAAGTCAATCCGCGGGGAGTATGAACGAGCAAGAAACAGACTTGCGAAAAAACAGATCACTGACAGTTTCGTTGATGGAAACAGCAAAGAAAAAAGATTTCAAGAAGCAAGAAAATTACATCTTTGTTTCGAAATAAATTCTAGCCTTTGGTATATCATGTCCAAGAAATACGAATGCAAAAATTTCTGGAGAGAATTAAGTAATAGCTATTCTATCAGTACAAAATAGGATAATTGAGCAATCAATTTTTTTAAAAAAAGCTTTTCGATCAAACTCCGTAGAAAACAAAGTGGAACAGCCGAAAAAATCTGAGAACAAATACAAGATCTACCATTTAGAAGTAGGGCCTATGAATCCCTTCTCCCTAATCCGGTTTCTGCTATCAATCAACCTATGCAGTTCAACCCACTATTGCAGAATAATTTAAAAGCAGCAACGAAGAAATACGCAAGTCTTGTAAGAACAGACATCGAGTTTGGCAGAAGCATGATCAACTACATGTAGATCCAAATGAAAATGAAAACTGATTCATAAACACATGATTCTCCGTATCGAAAAATATAAAATAAATGGGAAAAAATATATTCCATAATGATAATTGATCATCAACAACCGCTAAAAGTGACCATCCTTGGAATCAGAAGCTATATCATCAACTGAAAGAATAGATTCCATTGTGTTACCTAGAATTTAAACCATTACTTTTAGAACAAATTCAACTCACTCAATGAAAACACCGAAAGCAACCGAGTATAAGAAGAAGAAGAAGAAGACGAAGCAGAAGCAGAAAAGGCACTTTAAAAGCCAAAAAGTGCTTGTAGTGGACAAACCGACACACAAACCAGAAGAAAAAAAAAGGGGAATAAAACAATTCATTCCCAGATGACAAAGCATAAAATCACAAACCAACAAAAAAGGTCACAAAATTAATAGGCTATGAAATTTCCTGTGATAACAAACAGACTGAATGCATCCTGTGACAAATCTAATCGATCTTTCAACAATTTAAAGCACTGATTTCCAAGCACAAACAAGCAACCTAAACATGCCTTTTCCACTCCTTAAATAGCTAAAATCCATGGCAGTTAATACATATCTACAAGTAGTAAAACTTTTCAAAGGATGTGTACAGCTATACCACAAGAACTAAATTTTATATCTCTCCCCTTAAAAGATGCTAACTTTCAATTCAAACAAGAAAAGAAAAGCCATTTCCATGAATTCTAACACCAAACCACATCCTTAAACTCATAAATTCTTAAAAATAAATGAACTTGGACCTCAAATTCAGTCCAAAACATTAGTTAACAAACAGGAACCTCAAAAAGAACCATAACAAGCTCAATTTAGACAGGACCCATCAAGAAAATCATACTTAATCATCACATTTAATGAAATGACGAGTATGTATGTATATATATATATATATATATATATATATATATATATTTGGTGTGAATGAAATGATGAATTCACTTTGCACACCTTTAACTCTCCAAAGCTTTCTCAGGTTTTCAGTTTGTGTTTGATTCTTTCTTGTGCAGCGAGCAAAAGAGAAGCAACCATAGTTCAAGGAAGAGGAAATCTGTTGGCATTTTATGGTCTAACGTGAATGACAAATGCCCCTCGAATTTTATTTATTTACATTAGTAC